TATAACAAACCCACACACACCAGGTAACTATTTACTTTTAATTTTTGATTTTGAGATGGGGGTCCAGTTGAGTGGGTCTCTGGAGGTGGTCATGGCAGGCAGGGAAGAGAACCTCAGAGAGGACAGAATGAACACTTCATTCAGACCAACTTCATCAACCTGGATCAAGACTTCAGGATGTCTGATCCCAGGGGGTTTATTCCCATCAAATGTAAACACTATAATTTAGAAAAAAGATTCCTGGTGTAATACAATCCCTGGCCCACAAGGAAGTGCAATTGTATTGAAACTCCACTCAGGGTACATGCCATTTCTTCCAAGAAGATGGCTTCTAGAGACAGGTGACTTGTACTAGCTTAAGGACCTAAGGAAATGTCTAGCCTGGTCTCAGTCATATAGATGGCATGGAAGTCATTTGGATTATTAGCTACCTCTGGTCCTGCTTAAGGGAGCTTGGGGGAGGCCCTGGTTATACAGATAATGTAAAGATCATTTAGACTATCTGGCATCTCTGGTACTGGTTGTGAGAGCTTGGGGAGCCCTTGACAGGAAGGGTCATTTAGATTACTAGCCACTTCCGGCCCCGGTTGTAGGCACTTGATATGGCTGGACACAACAGATGACACAGATCACCAAGCTATTAAACACTTTCCATTCCCAGCTTTCCAGATGGAAGGACATGTCTTTCTCATTGGAAAGACAACTCCACATGCTTTCCATTCCTGGTTTCTCTGGAGAGTTGTGGGCTGAAGGACCTTCCTGCTATGTTCCCAGCATCTAGGTATGCTGCCCAGTCTGTTCCTGAACTCATAGGCTCAACTATATCAGATACCCTGAATAGCTAGGACCATACAAAGACACTGCTGTGCCCTGCTGGGTAGTTCAAAATGGTAGATGTTTATTCTCTCACAGCTATGGGACCTAGAAGTCAGAAAGGAACTTGACAGGATCCAAGGCCTGAGACCCTGTTCTTGACTGTTGCTAGCTTCTGGTCCACCAATATCCCAGCATTCCTTGACTTGCACGAGCATCTCTTTTTTCTATATCTATCATCATGAGATGTGCTATACGTGTCTCTCCTCCCCTATTAGGCCACCTGTCACACCAAGGTCCAGTGTGACTTTGTCTGCATTAATGTCACCTAGAATGACCCTATCTTCAATAAAGACATGTTCTGAGGTACCGAAGATTAGGAAATTTCTTTTTCTTTTTTCTTTTTTTCTTTTCTTTTCTTTCTTTCTTTCTTCTTCTTCTTCTTCTTCTTTTTTTTTTTTTTTTTTGGTTATTTTTTGTCTTTTTTTTTTTGGTAATGGTCTTATATATCCCAGACTGGTTTGAACAAACTAGATAGCCGAGGATGATCTTGAACTTCTGGTCTTCCTGCCTCCCCCTTCTGTGTGCTGGGATGCCAGGCATACACTGGCATGCTTGGTTTTTGAGGTGCTGGGGACCATGCAGACTCAAGCACTCTATCAACTAAGCTACACTCCCAGCTCCAGGAATGAGAACTAACTTATAGGCTGTTCTATAGGGTAACATAAACCCTAAAGCCCTAAGGAATGTGCTGTGCTGGCTGCCTAAGCCAATTCAATGGTCATTGGCCAGACCTCCCCAGAGTTAATGAGTGTGTGTGTGTGTGTGTGTGTGTGCGCGCGCGCGCGCGGGCGGGCATGTGCACGCGTGTGTATGTGTTAGAGGGTAAGAGGGTCTCATCTTGTTTGTGTTCTCCTATCCCCTGTAATGGATGTGTCGAGGATGTCAAGCAGCTATGGAGACATTAGCAGACCTGGAAGACACCGGGACTGCACCCCTCCCTTGAAAGAAGAAGCATAGGCTCAGGATCAAGACCAAGTTCTCACCACAAAGCAGATTTCTTTGCCCTGGAGGGACAGAGGGCAGGAAATAAGAGACAAGACAGGAGATAGAGGATGAGGAAGAAGGAGTAGGCAGTCAGGGAGGGGAAGGAAGGAGTATTTGTCCTCTGAGGATAAAGGACTGCCTCTGGATAGAGAGTAGACAGAGGTGGCACATAGGAAAAGGATAGTTTATAAAGATACACAAGGAAATTCCGTGTTAGGATGAGGTGTTTAATTTTAATTGGGCATGTTAATCAGGTGAGCCAAAAGGGGCTTTTGATTGCTGGACTTCAGTACTTTGATAGCTGGACCTTGGTGGTCAGCCTCAGGAGGAGGAAGTGGCCGAATAAGGGAATAGGCCTTTGTGGCCAGCCTTAGAAATGTAATCTAACCAAACCCAAGGCTTCATGCAGACGCAAGCACTCTATCAACTAAGCTATCCTTCCAGCTCCAGGAATGAGAACTAACTCATATGCTGACACAAACCCCAAAGCCCTCCTTTTTTATTAGCAATTTTAGCAAGGCAGATTTGTAGAGAGAATCTCTTATACGCATCACATGTCAATAAGAAAGCCAATGAGCTGAAGCAGGAAATAGGAGGTGGGACACTGGCAGGAAGAGAGGATTCTGGGAGAGAATGAGAGAATAAAAAGAGACGAAGGGAGAGATTCAAGAGAGCCACAGAGAGGCGAATGCAAACCAGCAGGTAGATGAACTCAGGAAGACGTTGAGAGAGACTCTGAGGACGATGCTAAGGAATAAGGGCTGGGCCTGGAAGAGAGGTAACTAACCAAATGGTAGCCATAGAATAGTTTAAAAGAATTAAATAAGCGCTAGCCTGGGAACAAGCCAAAGCTTATGGTCAATGCATTTAATAATAAACAGTCTCAGAGTCGTCACTCCGGGAGCCGGGACTGGGAAAGGAAAAAGAGTTAAACATTATTTTAACACAGAAGGAATGGAAGAGAAGGGCAAAGCCTTCCAGAGCCATGCTCACCACACTCCAGCTGGCCAGAGTCCCTTCATCCCTATGCTCAACAACTTGGAAACCCAAGAACTGAAACAGTAGCACTCTATTGGCTGCTAAGAAGAATGAGACCTGAGCCGTTTGGCCCTGAGAGATGTGACAAGTTGAACTGTCTGGAAAGTTATTAATAGACATAGGTCCTGCCATCCTGAGCCTTGGAAGACTCCTGTTATACCAGGAGGCTTTCTGACAAAGTCTAGTGCATGTAGCAGTGAGCCAGAGGTTCTATCTCAAACAAGGTAGAAGGTGAGGACCACTGCAGAAGTTGTTCAATGATTTCCACTTATATATACATGTGCCTGCACTCACAGATGAACACCACACACACACACACACACACACACACACACACGATCACACATATATTTTCCTTCTTTTTTTTTTTTAAGTCAATTCAAAGAGGTCTGTCAGGAACCTCAACAAGACAAACACACTAGGGAAAATATTACCTGTTCATGAGTCTTCAGAAACACCATAATGCCTAACTAAATTGTAGCCAGGTGTGCGGTCCTTGGGCCCATTGTTTACTCTATTGTCGTATGAGTGTCCTCTGCTTCATTAGGCAATAAAGACATCATTAAGCAATGTATCTTGTCTCCTTTCACAGACATCTCAAGGATGGAGAAGCAGAAAGGACTCCAAGAGCCCAAGCCAGTGTGTTGGGTTATGACAAGTCTATTGCTTAGTCTGGTAGGGAGGGGCCTAGTGAACCTGGTCAGTTTCAGGGACTTCCTAAAGCTATTTTGAGTTTGTTTACCTTTGTCTTTAAGGAGGTTCCAGAAGATATTTTGAGTGACTTATTGCTTAAGGAGCTTCCTTACAGGATTCAGTGTTTTTGGAAACTGTTACACAACAGGAGATCTGTGAATGTCTACATTTTAGAAGCTGTGGTCCTGATGGCTAGTAGGGGCACTGTGAATACAAGTTACTGAAAAGAACTGTATCTTTTGCTAGCCTGATTTACTGATTAGAACTTTAGTGCTACAAAGAGGTTGGAATGTTACAGGTCCATAGGGAAATTATTTTGTGGCATCTTTATGCCCTTTAACGACTACTGATTGCTCTGCTCTCTACCTGACCAAACATCTCTGTAACTATCAATTTAGAGTGCATGAACAGATCCCTAGTTTCCAATCAACCAAACGGTTAAGAATGCCCACAGACTAGCATCTGGGGTCTATAGCTCAAATCTTTTCCCCGTTTGCTGTAGCCTGTTTACTTGGTATCCTCACCAATATAACTGAGAACTGTCTTGTATGTTTTTCTTTGTTCTTCATCAAGAGGCTGGAGAGACAGCTAGACTGTTCCTTTGTAGAGGACAAGTACAGGGGTAGAGGGTTTGTAGAGGGTTGTCGCACCATGTATGTGGTGGCTCATAGCTGTCTGCAAATCCAGTCCCAGGAGATCTGACTCCTGTTCTGGTCTCTGAAGGCATCAGACACACAAGTAATGCACAGATACAGGTGCAGGCAAACGTGCACAAAATAAACAAAGAACACAAAAAAGAACACAAAATAATTCACAATTTTATCAAACTGTTACCATGTTGGAACATGAAATTTGGAATAACCTATATCTGTGTTCCTGGGCTAGGACTATTCCTATTTGGCGCCAGGATCCATCTCTGATCCCTTTTGAGGTGAGAGTTGAGTTTTTGCGTCGCAGCAGCGCTGGACTCCACAGTTCCTTCATCAATTCTCACAGTGACTCGTGAAGCAGGTAGACTTTAATTTCACACCTTTACTCTGCTTTGGAGAGATGAAGTTACAGTGCGGCCTCAATTAGCGTCTCTTTGCGTTTTCCAAAGTTCCTTGACCTGCTGAACTCAGCCTCATCCGGGAGAAAAAACCAAAACAAAACCTACCCTGGAGAAGCATCCTAAACAAGAAGGTGTAGGGGCCCGCCCCTAGCGCGCCGGCTTTGGCCGTCTGCACACAAAGCGGTTCCTCCCTGGGTTCCCGAGCGCGCAGGAGGAGCTGCGCGATGATTGGTGCGCGCGGCTGGAGCTCCCGCCCCTCCCCGCCCTGGGTCTCATCCTGGCTTCTCTATTGGCTGAGCGGCTGTGCGCGCTGAGCTCGCTGCCCCTATGGCTCCGCCCCTCGGGCTCAGAACTTGCACCGGGTGCCGGCGGTCGCCGCGGGAGCGTGAGTGCTGGGCGCAGGGCTCTAGGACGCATTGTCGCCGTAAGTGCTGCCTCCAGCGGCCCACAGGCTTCGCGCCGCGCCGAGTAACGGTGGCCAGAGGCCGAGCGTGGCAGGGGCAGAAGGGAAAGCACTGGGCTTGGCCGTGTCCCTTCCCCTCCCCCAGTACACCTGGTAGCACCGAGTCATGGCTCGGGCGGTGCCCAGGGGTCACGGACTCGCCGGCTGGAGATCGCTTGCCAGAGTGGGAGGCTTGTGGTTAGAGCTCCCGGACAGCCCGGCTTCCGTCTCCCCAGTGAGACGCCCGTGCCCACGGGGGGAGGCAGCTGCGCATGTCACTTGGGAGTGTGCTTCTCCGCCCCTGGCATCCTGGGACTCCCCCGGCCTCTGCGATCACCAGCGTCCCCCTCTGCTTGCTTCATTTGCCCCAGTCTCTGTCTACCAGGCCAGTGCGGGGCTGGAGACGAGCAGCCACTGGCTGCGGGCATGGGGTCCGGGGGATCCTGTCCTTGGCCACTGTGTGCAGTCATGGGCGGGTACAGTCTAAGGATGCTCACGCGGGGCTCTCCAACTCTAAAGCTGAGATGAGAAACCAGGCGCCAACTCGTCCGGCTCCTTGCCCCAGCGGGCTCTTTCCCCTGGGTGAGAAAGTGGGTCAACTCTGCTCTGGTCTCGAGTGGACCTTTGGGACTGTTGGGGCGCGACTAGCACTGTGCCCCTTACCTCTCCACATCAGCTGTTGGTCTTGGCAGGGTCCCGAAGTCTGTCTGGAGCCAGCGGTGGGGCAGCTCGTGTGCATGGCTCCGGAGGCTCCGGTTGCTCCGCAGAGCGGCTGCCAGGCTCTAAAGTTCCCAGTTGACCACAACAGTAACTAAATATAGGACCAGCTGGTGCGGCCGGAGTGTCGCAGTGGATCCTTTGCAGAGATCGTAGGGCTGCAGATAACGAAGTTGAGTTCTGACACTTAAAGGTTGCATCAGTGCCACGGTCAAGGTTTAAATACCCCAGCCCCAAGTTTGGAATTGAGTTGAGACCGTTTTCAGGTCTGGCAGAGAAATTATACAGTGCTCATAATCATAACTTCCTCAAAGCAGAATAGCACACCCACCTTCAATTTATTATATGCAAACTTCCGGTCTATCCTTGTTTGATAGCCTATTGATTGGTCATGCCTTAACGTAGGAAGCTCTTAATGGCTTGCAGAGTCTTTCCTCAGAAGTGATTTATCGTCAGTTAATTTTCATTAAGTTTGTTTGAGCAAGGTGATGTCTCCATGTCACAGCTTGGGGCTGCTCGACCACATTGAGAACTTTCTAGAATTCTGCTTGGATTAGTTATGCTCCTCAGAGGACTGCCTACTAGGAAGGCCTCCGGAGATCTGGAGTAGACCACAGGTCTTCTCTGTGGCTTGTCTGTGTCTACCTGTTGCTGGGACCCTATATGGGTCCTCCCTCTGGGGTCATGCCACAGGTCACATGCCCCCCACCCCTAGGCTCCATGCCTCCCACCCCTGTGCTGGCACACAGCTGGCTCATTCTGTCTCCCAATGGAAGCTTGTACCATCGGGTGCGTCCAACCTGTGGCCTAGGGGCCCTGTTCGTCCCAGGAAGAGCAATGAATACAGCTAAATTACTCCAGCTTAGTAATGCCATGTTGTGGTGTCATAAGATGGGGGCTTCTTTAGTCCATACTCGGTCTCTGTCTCTTTATTGTCCAGCATGGTTTTTATAGATGGTGATCAGAAGATTTCAAATTTAAACATGCCCTGGGGCTGTATTACAAACTACAGTGGAGTCGGGGGAGGGCGCAGGTGAGGAGTCTTGTTCTGTAGCTCAGGCTGACCTGGGACTCAGGGTCCTCCTGTTTCAGCTTTCCTTGTGCTGGGGCTATAGGTACTTGCCAGCATGTCCATTTTCCTTGAACATTACTGAGTCTCCCCCACCCAGAGTCTGGGATAGGTGGCGCTGGTTGTACTGGAGCAGCTCTGGCCCATGTGGGCCCATAGCTCCTGTTTCTCCCTGACTCTCTGCCACCACCATCCTTATGTGACAGATTGACTGGATTCCTGCTTCTAGGAGCCTAGAACCTAGACCTGTGGGGCCGGCCTGGAACCCGTGGATTGTTCTGGCTACAGAGGGGTGCCCAGCGCCTTGATTGTTCAAATGTGCTGATGTGAGAGCAGCTTGTGAATGGACTCGGATTGTTTAGATAGAGGTGGGGGTAGCCCACGGCCCTGTCTTTCATTTGACATGGACAATTGTCTGTTCCTCTTTTGAAAACAGAGAAGAGGAAAAGAGAATGCCACGTGTCCCATCTCGTCCTTCCTATACCCCACCAGAACTGGGATTAAATGCAGGGCCATGGGGAGAGTTTTGTTAAGCTGCTCCTGCAGTAACTTCTGTAGTCCAGGCAGGTCTTGAACTTACGATTCTCTTGCTTCAGAATTACAGGCCTGTCCCACGAGGTCCAGCAAGAACAGCTATGCTTTTCTCCCCAGCCTTTCTCTCCGAGCTTCTATCAGATATTAAATAAACCCCTATAGGTTAATTGACTGATCAAATCCCAAACAGGCCCAGCCTTTGGGGCCAAAGGAGCCACCAAATACAGTTGGATACTTTCCTCGATGGCCTTTGGTGGGGCCAGGAGCCCACTGCAGGCCCCTCCTGTTTGTTCTCTCTCAGCTCTGGAGCCCTGCTACCCTCTCTGGCCTCTGTGTGGAGTGTGCCCAGTTTCTCTGGAAGGAGAAAGGAGATGGAATAGCAGGAAAGCCCCAGCTTAAAAATGAGGAGAGTTGGGGGCTCTGTTTCCATCTAGCTGGTTGGCCCGTCTTCTTGGCTCTGCTAAAGTTTCCCAGTTTGTGAAGGAGTTAAGGTAAATCCCCTGAGGGCCAGCGAAAGGGCTCTCTGGGTAAAAGCAGTTGCCGCTAACCATGATGAGCTGAGTTTGATCCAAGAACCTACAGTAGAGAGAACACACTCTGGAAAGTTGTCCTCTTACTGCCAAATGTGCCTTGCAGCACACTCGTGCCTGTAGTCATGCACGTGAGCGTGTACTCATTCTCACATGCGTGTACCCACACACTTGTGCCTCCATTCACACACACACACACACATACACACATACGTGCATGCAAGTAATAAGTAAAATTAAAAAGACAAAGGAGTCACTTCAGTTTTGACAGCATTCATTCGGGCCTGGGAGTTTGGGCTAAGAGGGTGCGTATTTTGGGTGGAGGGGTCCCATTTGCCATGCCCCCCGCTCCCCGTCTCCCGTCACTCACTGGCCCGTGCTCTGCAGACTATTTAGGCGTATGAACTTAGGTTCCTATTCAAGTCGAACTCTTGTCTTAGACATGTTGAAACTTGGACTTGCCTGGAGACTTGAAACCCAAGTGGTGTGCTTTGACCATAAAGAGAAGCGTCAGGTTGGATGTGCTCATGGGCCGGTGGGGGATTGGGGGTAGGGGCTAGAAAGCTTCTTCTTTTCTTTTGTTTGTTTTTGAGACAGGGTCTCTGTATCATGTAGCTCTGACTGTCCTGAAACTCACCGTGTGGACCGGAGCAGGCAGGCCTTGAGCCCCCAGTGTTGGCGTTTAAGTGTGTGCCACCATGCCCAACTAGAGACATGTTGAAGCTCAAAAACAACCCAAGTGACTTGTGCTTAGTCAGTACCCTTGAAGCTCAGGGGGAGGAGGACTGGCAAGGCGAGGCGGGGGCGGTCAGGAGACATGTCCTGGGAGTGGAGAGATGAGCTTCTTACTCGTTCCTCAAGGATGAGTCCTCCCGAGGTGTTTGTTCAGAGTCCTGTGGTCATCCGTGAAAGGTTCATCTCTGGTGTCGCGCCTGCACGCGCCACATGCTCCTGTGCCTGCTCAGCTGGTTTTTGTTGAGGGTTTATGAGGTCTGGACTCAGCATGAGGCAGGGTCACATTCTTGACATAGTCATGCAGGCCCATGCTACTAGGCTCAGTGTGGTGAGACTTCCTCTGACCCCGCCCAGCTACTCAGTGGTAGAGTTGGATTTTAGGCCTTTCTCATCACCAGTGTGTTCTGGTGACATGAGCTCTGGGTCAGCCTCTCAGTGGGACACATATGCTAAGCACCTTTGACCTCCTGGGCTTGATGTTACCTGCTCTGTTCGGCCAGCTCTGAACACTGTCCCCACACCTCTTCTTTCTGTCCCCACTCCTCTGCCTCTAGTCCCTGACTAGGGTGGATTTGTCACTCCCTTAGTAGCTACTGAGTTCAGGACTAGGGACAGGGCCAGGAGAGCCAGAGGAGAGAAGAGGGCCTCTGGTATTTCCTGTGTGGTGATTTTGGTGATTTTAAGAGGCAAACACCAGCCGGGCGGTGGTGGCACACACCTTTAATCCCAGCACTTGGGAGGCAGAGGCAGGCGGATTTCTGAGTTCAAGGCCAGCCTGGTCTACAGAGTGAGTTCCAGGACAGCCAGGGCTACACAGAGAAATCCTGTCTCGAAAAACCAATTAAAAAAAAAAAAAAAGAGGCAAACACCAGAACACCAAGTGTGGAGCAACACAGACCCGATTGTGGCCCTTGTTTGTGCCTTGGTTTCTTAGCCTGTAATAACAGGGTCTCTGTTACTTTTATGTCTTTTTCATTTCCTTATTTATTTAGCTGAGACAAGGTGTCATATTAGCCCAGGTTGGCATTGAATTTATTCTGTAGCCAAGGATGTCCTTGAAATTTTTTTTTATATATATTTATTTATTTTATGTGAATCCACTTCAGACACACCAGAAGAGGGCATCAGATCTCATTACAGATGGTTGCTGGGAATTGAACTCAGGACCTTTGGAAGAGCAGTCAGTGCTCTTAACCACTAGGCCATCTCTCTGGCCCGACCTTGAAATTCTAATCTCTGTCTTTCTAATATTGGGATAACAGGCGCATCCCACCATGTCTGGTTCATTGGGTGCTGGGAATTGAACCCAGGGCTTTTGTGAATGCTTGGTAAGCATTTTACCAGCTAAGCTCCATCCCCAGCCTGTTCGTCCAGTTTCCATTTTTTTTTTAATGTATAGCGTGTATCTCTGTGTACCACATGCATGTCTGGCGCCTGGTGCCTTCAGAAGCCAAAAGAACATGCTTGTGAGCCACTCACCTGCAGACTCCAAGGTCCGTTTGCCTTGGTGCCATGCTTCCTGCTGTGCAGTAGGAGGCTGGTAGATAGGGGTGGTCATCAGGGTAGCTGGCCTCGCTGTGTTCATTGAGCCCTGGCTAGGAGGCTGCAGAATAGACAGGTGTCTTTCCCCAGTAGTTAGCTGGACCTGGCCTCTAACCCTAACACCCTGCCCCACCTGTTGAGTCACAGTCCCTTTGAGTCCTCACGTCCACCTGGCCACTGGTTTAAGTTCTGTGTATGATGAGGTCACATGTGTATGGTGAGGTCACCTGGGTTGATCCTCTCAGGAAAGTGGTAAAGCCCAGCTGCTCTCACCCTCTGGTGGCAGATCAGAGCGGCTCCTGCAAAGGCTAAGCTGGATGTAGCCTGGGCTCAGGAGGAAGAAGAGGAGGAGGAGGAGGAGGAAGACGAGGAGAAGGAGGTGATGAGAGGCCTGGGGACTTCTTTGTAGCTTCTTAACAGCCTGGGCCTCTAGGGAGGGGAACATTGCTCATGGGACGCTGGCAGGTGGGTGCTTCATGGTCCTGTGTCTTCCCCAGGCACAGACCCCCTTTGTGAGTAGCAGACCGGCCCGGAGGCTGGGAGCCGAACACACACGTCTGCATGCTGAGGAAAATGGGTGAGGCCGTGGCCAGAGTTGCAAGGAAAGTCAACGAGACCGTGGAGAGCAGCTCAGATACCCTGGGTAAGTGAGGCCTGGCTCTTCTACTCTGGGCCTGGCTTCTGAACTCAGAGATGGCTCAGAAAGAGATGACGGGGACGTAAGTGTGTGGCCAGGAGGACAAATACTCCGTGGGACTTTGGTACAGTTGTGGTGGCTGTACAGTGTGCGTCCCATCTTACACTTTGCTCTTGGTGTTTGTTTGTTTGTTTCCATTTGTGTTTTTGTTTTTTTGAGACAGGATTTCTCTGTGTAGTCCTGGGTGTTCTAGAATTAGTGCTCAAAACCAGACTGGCCTTGAACTCACAAGAGATCTGCCTGCCTGTACCCACCGATGCTGGGATTAAAGGTGTGCACCACCACTGCCCAGCCTAGACTTTGTTTTTGTTGTGGGTCTTGGTCAAAGAAATTGGGAGAGTGTCGAGCTGTGGACCCTCCCTGCTTGAACAACTTCAGTCATCTGTATGCGTGTGTCTGTGTTCCCTTGAACTGCTTCAAAACATCAGTCTGGACACGCATGAGTCACTCCGTGTTGGGCGCCTCTTGAGTGGCTAGCCTGTGTGGGCCTTTGGGTACACCCAGCTGGAAGGCACCTTCATGCTCCACTATTGTGACATGCATTTTTTTTTAAAAAAAATTGAATTGATGTTAGCATTTTAGCCTTTTTCCCCCTTACTGAGATGCTAAGCATTTAAGCAAGCCATCCATCTAGTTGAGTTCTGTAGATGTGAATGATAGGATGGGCCAGGGAGACCAAACAGTTATCTCTGTGTATGTATGAGGTTGTGTGTGTCCGTGTGAACATGAGTAATTTGTGTTTGAATAGTGCTCGCGTGTTCTGTAGATACATGAGTGTGTATTTGTGTGTGTGCCTGTGCGCATGTATATGAATTCACAGGAATATCAGTGCCGCTGAAGAGACCCAGGCATCTTGGCACCTTATGGGAACCCAGATGGCTACAGCACAACCCTGCCCTGGGGATGACGGTGCATATGGCTGAGGTGGGCTTGGGCTGAGGAGAAGGGTTTTCCAGGCATGTGGTGGTTTGTGTGCACATGTGTGTGTTTTTGTAACAAGGAAGCATTTTGGTGGTGTGTATCATTGGAGCAGAGACCCAGCTGTGAGCTCCCCTTCAGGTGTGTCTGGAATGCAGGCTCCGAGTCAGAGGATGACAGGGACTAGAGAGGCAGTCAGCCTTCCTATAGGCTTGGTTACTGCCTCTTCCAGGAAGCCCTCAGTGTTACCCCATCCACCCGTCCTCCCTCCCTTCCTCCTCTCTGGTCATCTGTTTGGCATTCTTAGAGGGCAGGAACACCATGGCTCTTTTTCACCAAGTATCTGGCTGGAGTGAAATGCTATGCTATAGGGACCAGACAGGCCTCGAACTCAAAGTGATGTGCCTGTCTCTACCTCCTGAGTGCTGGTGTTAATGGCGTGTGGCACCATGTGCAGTTGACTGTGTGGTCTTCTGCGCCTGCTCTCTGAACCTATCATGGCATTAGGCACCATACTGGTGTGTGGAGGGTTTGTTGAACCCGGCCAAAAGATGATAGGTTGTCAGGAATTGGCAAGGTTTCTGCTGGTTTTGGAGCTGTGAACTGTGGCCCTCTGTAGAATTCTGGAGTCACCCCACCTTACAAGACTCTCTGCTTGGCTTTGGGCTATTGGGTCCTGGATCTGAATCTCCACTGTGCCACCTACCAGCTTGGCATCTCAGCAGGTCACCTACCCTAAAGTGAGGATGGTGACTGTGTCCTCCTCACAGAGTGGTTAGGGACAATTACATCTGTCACTTCCTTGAGATGCAGGAAGCTCGATAATCGGCAGCTATTATTTTTAATTTTTCTCTCACGCCCAGAGGTGGAGGTGGAGGCTAAGTCCTCAGTGGCACAAACGCACCTCCACAGGTGACAGTCATCCGGGCGACACGGCCCACTTCATGTTCCCTCTGAGAGTAGCTCCCAGGCCTGGCTTCATCTCATGTTTTGATTTCCATCACTTTTCTGGGACAGGCTGTTCTCAGATGCAGACCTGTGGTCCACTGGTGCTCTATTGCAGTGGCTGTTCTGGGTGGGCTCCGTGCAGTTTTAGACCCTGGCCTGAATGGCAGAGCTGTGGCACTGTGTCTTCTCAGGGCTCACCTGGGCCCTTGTCAAATACCTGGATAACTGTCTTCTGTTTATTTCTCTGCCTTAAAGATTTCTGGACTTCAGGGGAAATGACCATGGAAACTCCAGGTGAGAAAAGGCCTTCAAGGGCGGTGCTGGCGCATGCTTTTAATCCCAGCACTCCAGAAGTAGAGCCAGGCAGATGCCAGATCTCTGAGTTTGAGGATACAGAGTGAATCCCAAGACAGCCAGGGCTACTCAGAGAAACTGTGTCTCGAAAACCCAACCAACTAACTAAATAAATATGTAAAAGTCAAACAAAGCCGGGCAGTGGTGGCGCACACCTTTAATCCCAGCACTTGGGAGGCAGAGACAGATGGATTTCTGAGTTCGAGGCCAGCCTGGTTTACAGAGTGAGCTCCAGGATAGCCAGGGCTATACAGAGAAACCCTGTCTCAAAACAACAACAACAACAACAACAACAACAAGTCAAACAAAAAACAAAACAAAGGTTAGACTTGGGATAGTTCAGTTGGTGACGTGCTTGTGTAAGACACAAAGTGCTATAGTGTCACGTGTCCCTAATCTCACTGCTGGGGGGGCTCAATGCAAGCACAATCACATGTCACCTGGCTTTCATTTCACAAGTGAGATTTTTTTTTATAAATCTAGAGCTAGACCATCCAATTCAGTCCAAATGATGCTGAGTTCCAAGTTAAGTCTGCAGAGGCAAGGTGGATGCCGGGTGTGGTGATACATACCTTTAACCTCAGCACTAGTGAGGCCAAGGCAGGCAGATCTCTGTGAGCTGGTGTCTAGCCTGGTCTGCATAGCTAGCTCAGACTAGCCAGGGATATATTGTCTCCAAAAAATATAGGAAAGTAGTTGAGGTAGACATTCCAATATACTCCTCTGGCCTCTGCATGCACACTCCTGGGCCCATGTGCGCACGCGCACACACACACCTGTGATTTTGGAACCTTTGAGGAATTTTCTCTCAGTGTAGAGGCAAAGAAAGATAAGACAGATCTATGTGATATATAATATGTAATATTAATTATAATTATATAATTTTATATTTACATTATAATTAATAATATATTGTTATATATTATACAATTAGTATATAATATATATTACATATATATGTAATATATATTTGTATATACACACACATACATATATATATACACACACACACACATATACATATATATATATATAAAAACCTTTCCTCCTTGCATAACCTTCTGCTGAAGGTCACATACTGTAAAACCCCCAGCTCTCTGCAGGGACATGGCCTCAGCTTGGTACCTCGATAGGCCCAGGGTGGAGAAGTGTCAGTCCTGCCCACCGTTCTGTCTCCCCAGTCTCTCTACTCACCAGGTACTGTGTGAGCACTTTGCCCGTCCTGACCCACTTAACTTCCTTGAGAACTGTATGATGTTAAAATCCTGTTGTAAAGACGACAAAACAGATATGTGTTCTTAAAGGACAATCTGTTCCCTTTGTGAGACTGCTTTTTGTTTTTTTAATTTCGTGCCAAGATGCCACTGTGTAACCCAAACTTACCACATCGAGCACGCTGATCCCCAAACTCATTCTATAGCCTAGGCTAGCTTTGACCTCACTACACGGCCCAAGCTGGCCTTGAACTTACGGTGGCCTTCCTACCTCAGCCTCTCAAGCGCTGGGGCTACAAGCATGTATCACAGCATGCTGTGGGGATTTTACAGACCTGGAGCTAGGCACAGTTTATGGGTGACTTGCTGTTGATCCAGGTGAATGGAGGCCAGACCGCAGCTCACCCAGCCCTGTGTGGGTCAGAGCCTGACTCGGCAAACACCCTGACGCCCTGTGACGGGGCTGGCCTGCCTTGAACTTGCAGAGGTCCTCTAGCCTTCTGCCTCTGCCTCCCAAAATGCAGCACCATATTTGGCTGTACTTGTGTGTGCGCACACAAATGCAGACGCCCTCAAAAGTCAGAAGAGAGCGTTGGGTCTTCTGGAGCTGGAGTTATAGAGAATTGTTTTCTGAAAGGGCAGCAAATGTTCTTTAAAAAACAAACAAAACAATCTTTTTATGAGTTTCACATCAGGTACCCCAGGGCCGCTCATCTCCCATTCCCTTCAGGTTTGTCTTTTACCCTTTTATCCTCCCCCTACCCAAAATAAAAAACACACAAACAAAAACAAAGCATAGAAAACATCTCCTCATGGAAGCTGTAATGTGTCACAGTGTGTCCCACGGTATATCCCTCTGTCCACATTTCTTCACTTGCAAATGTTAATTGTAGTGAGTCGTTGGTCTGATCTGAGATATCTGGGTTCTGTGACACCATCATCCATGTTTGATCCTTACCGGGCTTTCTCCCTGTTCCTCTATTGCCCTGTCATGGAGGCCCCAAAGCTTTGGATGAAGACTGCCCCATTCATGTTTCCCAACCATTTGCATATGATACAGATTTGGGGGTGATCCAGCTCAGAGGCCTGGGTCTGGGCCTGGGTGGTAGCTGAGCCGATCAGCACTGGCTTTCCCTTATTCACATCCCCAGGGCGAGCACCCAACACTGCTCGGTCTAGGCCACCCAATGCTGCCATCGGCGGGAGGCAAGGTCAGCTCTCATGCCCTTGGGGCCGGCTCCCCCATACCCACGCCTCCAGAGCCAGCTCCACTGTGCTGCCCAGTCAAGGTGTACGGCCCATTCTCCCAAGTGTTGCAGCCTATGGGGGGCTTGGCCAGTTCTCTCGACTACCTCAGGTTGTGAGAGGGAAGGATAAGAGGGCATTATCACCCCCCCTCCTTGAACCCATGCCACTTCATGGCAGAGGTGTGGCTGGACCATTTCTCTCTCTCTCTCTCTCTCTCTCTCTCTCTCTCTCTCTCTCTCTCTCTCACACACACACACACACACA